ACCTGTAGTTCCAGCTTCTTGGAAGGCTCAAGTGGAAGGATTGCCTGAGCCCAGAAGGCTGAGGTTGTAAGCATGCTACTGCACACCAGCCTGGGTCATGGAGTGAGACTTTGGCTCAAAAAAAAAAAAGTCCTAACAAATACATAATCCTTCTTGTAATTCCATAATGAGGAACATCAACCGGCCAAAATATAGCCTTGAATTATGCAACAAGTCTCTTATTTCTTATAAAATATACTGGCAAAGACCAACAAACCCACACTGCTACTAGGAAACCCATCCCCACATTCCATGGCTTCAGGGCAACTCCATAAACACAGGGTCATAAAAAGACAGCCTGCAAACTCCTGGAGCCAGCACTCCATTTTAAGGATAGGGAATTGAAGTCAATGACATGTGATCATGCAGTTACAGCAATCTAAGGGTCTTAAAAAGTTAGTAGGAATAGCCAATCTTATCTTAGAAATCTACCCAAAAACGGTATATAAAATCTATATGATACAGATGACAAACCAATTTGAGTAAAATGATAAAATTTTACAGCTTGTATGCTTTAAGATAGGTCATATTCTGCATATTCACATGCAGATATAACAAAATCTCAAGAAACAGAATGCTCAATCTCCTGCCAGTGGCTTATTTGCTTCAAGACACAATTTGATACCCCAGAGTTCCAATGTTATAAAGGAATGTAAATGGAGTTCAGTATAATATCTCCCCAGAGGAAATCTGGAGTTCAGTATAATATCTCACCAGAGGAAAAAGTGTATACTTTTGGACTCTAAATATGAAAACACAGATTCCCAGCTAAGCATAAACTTCTGACTTTTTTCCCCCAATTTCAATAGACAGTAAGTTAAAAAATATAACTGCTATGTTCCCTACAACTATGGGGGTTAATATTTAATGTTTCAAGTATCCAAATAATTTTCTTTCTTTGTTAATTTTATAATATTATTATAAAAATGACAATGGAGAGAATACTGTATGTTAGAACTTGCTAAGAATTTCATATGGGGCTGAGGGCGGTGGCTCACACCTATAATCCCAGCACTTTGGGAGGCTGAGGTGAGAGAATTGCCTGAGCCTGTGGATTCGAGACCAGCCTGGGCAACTTGATGAGACCTCATCTCTACAATAAATCAAAAAATTAGCCGGGCATGATGGCGCATGCCTGTAGTTCCAGCTTCTTGGAAGGCTGAGGTGGAAGGATCGCCTGAGCCCAGCAGGTCGAGGCTGTGGTGGCCGGGAGCGTGCCACTGCCCTCCAGCCTAGGTGACACAGTAAGACTCCAATTAAAAAATAATAATAATAATTTCATATTCATTATTAAAATAAGTGAATCGTTAAATTACATGTTTTAAGAAAAGCTTTCAGGTCTTAATTACTTCTTGATACTATTAATTAAAGAACCTGATGAACAATGAAAAATACTCCAGTAATTTCACATCATTAAGACAGAATAAGCATAACTAGAGAACTAATTAAAATGAGAAGTTTAAAATTATAACATTAATAATCTTACCACAAGATAAATTAGTGATTAAACACAAATCTTTATTATATTAGGCAACATTCCTAGACTTATTTAAACCACACACAAGGGGTTAAAAATAACGACAAGGAAAGGCCAACAGCCTAGCAGCCCAGTGGAGCCAACATTCCCTTCTCCCCTCCCCCTCTCTTTCCAGTCCTCTCCAGTCCAGAATGAACTGCATGCCCCACTGCACAAGGCCCAAAAAGGTCACAGTAGATGGCAGAGACTTTTGTAAGAGAACAGAAATAACTCAGCAGCTTTGTTACCGTAGTCTCTTTTAATCAGTATGCTCAAAATCCTTTAATTAGCACTCTGTCTACACAAGGAAAGCATTTCTTCTGTGCCAGGGAGGACACGTATATATGTACACACTGTTCTGTTGTATCAGCACCACAATGTGGAGCTAGCACCTTAAGCTGTCTGCCAGGAAACTAAAGCACAGAAAACTTTTTTAAAGGTATGGTACCACAAAATTTACATATCCATTTGCATTTCTATTCTCAAACAACAAAGTAATGATTAAGTTCCTCTAATATAGCATCAATTTATTTCTGGACATATTTTCCAGCAAAAATAAAAGTTTTTAAAACTAAGTAACTTTCTTTGTACAAAATAAAGTAGACTTTTTAAACTTAAAATAATGTTAGTAAAACATGAAAACAGATAACATTCAAATATTTTTCCTTTTTTCATAATATATCTTCAGTAGAAGATAAAAACACCACCTCATTCAAACAGGAACAAACCACAACACGCAGTTTTTTTTTTTAGTCAGAGTCTCACTCTGTCTCCCAGACTGGATTGCAGTGGCACGCTCACAGCCACCGCAGCCTCAACCCATTGGGCTCAAGAGATCCTTCCGTCTCAGCCTTCCAAGTATCTGAAACTACAGGGGTGCATCACCACACCCAGCTAATTTTTCTTGATTTACTACAGCAACTAGGTCTCACCAAGTTGCCCAGGTTGGTCTCGAATCCGTGGACTCAGGCAACCCTCTTGCCTCAGCCTCCCAAAGTGCTGGGATTACAGGCATGAGCCACCATGTCTGGTCACAAAACACATTTTCACATGGATACTTTACATTAAAAATTCCATCCAATTACAAAAGGTCTTAAAACTTACAAGCTAGATTAAACACACACACACACACACACACACACACACACACACACACAAACACACACATATTTCCTTCAAAAATCTGATTGACTGGAATAAAGGCAGAAATTGGTGATAAATTAAAAATAACTTTTTTTTTTTTTTATAGTCTGGGTTTCACTCTGTTGCCCAGGCTGGAGTGTAGTGGCACAATCACAGTTCACCACGGTCTCAACCTCCTAGACTCAGGGGATCCTTCTACCTCAGCCCCCTTACCCCCCTGGTAGCTGGAACTTCAGGTACACGCCACCACACACAGCTAATTTTTAAATTTTTTTGTAGATACTAGGTCTCACTATGTTAGCCAGGCTGGTCTCGAACTCCTGGGCTGAAACAATCCTACCTCATCAGCTTCCCAAAGTGCTGGAATTACAAGCATGAACCACCGTGCCAGGACTTAAAGATAACTATTTTAACATCCACAGCCAAAAAACAAAGAAAACTTCATTAGTAAAATGGGATTTGCAGTATTTTAATAGGGATATGTAGGTGCTACAAACTGATTTTAAATCATTCAAAATCAAGCTGGATATACACATATTGTAAGATTCAGAGTGGGTACATATATATTATACTTACATGCATAATTAAACAAAATGATAATCTTCTAAATATCTGATTAGAGAAACAACCTAACTAAATTTAAGATAAAGTGAATTATTAAGGAGATAGCATAACATAACCACTTGAAAGTCAACTTTTCCGCACCAGCCATGTGAGCTCACAGCATAGTTCTATACAATGGGAATACTACTATTCCACAGATCAGTGTGAGAATTAAATGAGATGATACTTTTACAGCACTTGGTAAAAACCCAAAAGTTTATTGGTAAGACTATAAAGCACATGTAGTGGAGAAACATGAAATAGATTTATTCATGCACTGCACAAAAGTACAAATTGGCATAACCTATCAAAATGACATAAAAATACAAATATTAGTATATGTACTATGTACTTATATATGGTATTCAGCACAGCACTGTTTGTAATAGCAATATTGGAAACAACATAAATGCTTTCAGTAGGAGAGTGGTTAAATAAATGCACTTCTCAATCAGAGATTAACATTTGAGGGGAAAAAAAAACAAAAACAACAACAAATCTCCTTATATATTAACAAGAGGGAGTTCACCATGGCAAATTGTTCAGAAAAAAGCAACGTGCCGGGCACAGCGGCTCATGCCTGTAATCCCAGCACTTTGAGGGATGGAGGCAAAAAGACTGCCAGAGCTCAGGGGTTCGAGACCAGCCTAGGCAACTTGGTGAGATTTTGGCTCTACAATAAATAAAAAAAGTAGCCAGGTATGGTAGCACATGCCTGTGGCTCCAGCTACTTGGACGGCTGAGGCAGAAGGATCACCTGAGCCGTGAGCATGCCATGGCACTCCAGCATGGGTAACAGAGTAAGTCTCTGACTCAAAAAACAAAAAAAGAAAAGAAAAAGAAAAAAGCAAGTTATGGGGAAAATGTGTATAAGGTATAATATGCTACCACCTGAGAAAAAGAAGAGTAAAAATTCATGTTTATTTGAATATGCAAAAACAAACCCTCTAGAAACATAAAAGTCTTTAATAGTAATAATTACCTACTGGTGATGAAAGTGAAACAGGGCCTGACATAGAGTCCAGCCTCAACAAACAGAAACTATAATTACTCCTCCCATTAGTACTATCATCATCATAATGAACACATACCCTTAAAATATATACACCGAATACATTCAAACTAAGTAATGAGGTAAAAAGCCAAATCTCAATTATTCATAAGCTGACTATCTAGTTGGAAATCTAAGCTCTTCATTTCCTCTTCAAGGTAAGTAGCTTTTGGCCATTTTACTGCTGGCTCTCACCTCCACCAGAAAGCGAGTGAGCCAAAAATGGTCATTTTATTCCATTTTGATCGACAGTTTTTGACAATCAGATTTTGGAGCTAAAGGGACCATTAAAATCCCACAGGATAACTTTCCAAATGAGCTATAGAGAAACAAAGATTTAGGGAATTCCCTAAATTAGGGATAGTTCAAAAATTTTGAGTCTGCCTCCTACTTAAATGTTTTTTCATTTTATTACTGATAAATGGGTAGGGAAACAGGAAATAAGTTAAATTGAAGTAAATTATCCTTGCTGAATTCCCTCCCTCCCCCTATTTTTTATTAAAGATAACTAAATGTGCTGAAATCAAATCCTACAAGCAATCATAATAATTAGAGTATAGGTCAACAGAGAATTTAACAACTCAGTCGTAAGGTTTTCAGGACCAAGTATTGAATGAACATCTGAAACAAAACCTGTAGTTTGCTTACACTAGAGATTGTCAGAGGCATGTTGAAATCCTTGCCACCTTGCAGCCGGAAACCCCAAGGAGCTGGGCCAACCAAGGACACACTGTAGTTGCTCATGGTTCTAAGGGCTCAAAGTCCAATGCCAGGAAATGAAAGACACTGTGAAAGAAAATTATACGGTTAACAAAAATGTTTACTTGAAACCCTAGTACATACTTAAGTGCTTTTAATATAAAGTCAACTATGATATTGTACTTAGTATTTTATTTTGAGAGGTGGGGAGATGTACAGGATAGATCTATATTATGTTCTTCATTAATTTCAGTCTAAGAAAAGGAAACTATGAGCTAATATGCAATTTTTACACTCCTGTCAATTTCCATAGTCTAAAAATTCCATATCAGAATGTATTTCTAGACATTTGATCAGTTTTACAACTTACTACACTCCAATTCTGTGGCTTCTTGCACACAAACTTTAACTCAAAGTGCTTTACAACACTTTGTTAATGTATGTTAGAACAAGACTTTATTTCAGGTTGAATTCAGAATGAATTTTCCCTTCCCTCCAACTCATGTATTCTTTTGTCTGAAATTGGCAACAGTCTTTCAATTACTAAAATTCTAAGTCACTCTAACATATGAAAGAGACTGCAAATCAGTCAGCTCCCATTCTTACTTTCCAAATATTAAATTCTCTAAACTGAGAAGTCGTTTTTTAATGCACAAAACTCTAAAAAGCTCTACAGTCAAGAGCTACAACTCATGTTTCCTCCTACAGGGACATGGTACTTTCCACACTTCAAGTAATATCTACTTTTCCTTCATATAAGCAATGAATAGGCAGCACTCTAGGACAGTGATATTTTAGTCAGAACCTGCTTTCAAGAACATGACTAGATGTGGTAGAAGTGCAATTTAACACATTAAATTGAACTGGTACTACAGAAAATAACCAGCATTTCAGTGCTTTCCTCTTTCTGTGTTTTGCTGTGTGCTCATAACGCTCATCCTAATACTTCAATATAATTTATTTGTAAAGAAAAAGAAAAAAAGTCTGACTCGAACTTCCTATTGGTTGTTATAGTGACAAGAAAGACTGGGAGGAACGAAGATTTTTTGTTGTTGTTGGAGTTAACTGTCACTGTCACTGTCAATGTCACTGTCGCCAAGTGGTAGTGCAGTGGCATGCTCGTGGCCAACGCAGTCCAGATCTGCTGGGCTGAAGCAATCCTTCCACCTCAGCCTTCCAAGTAGCTGGAACCACAGGCATGGATCACCACATCCTACTAATTTTTTTACTTACTGTAGAGACAAAGTCTCGCCAAGTTGTCCAGGCTGGTCTTGAACCCTTGAGCTCAGGCAATCCTCTCACCTCTGCCTTCCTTCATTTTTTTTTTAAGTGGAATACTAAGAAACAGAATTGCCCCCTCTTTAAAAAATATTATAAACATAACGTAGGGACCGCACTCACCTTAGAGTGCTGGCCTTTTTCCTGTCTATGGGAAGTGATCTTTTCTTAAATAAATCTTTTCTTCCTTCAAAAAAAAACTTAAATAATATATAATTTTTAAAACATACCTCCATGGAAATTCTGGGCTGTTCCACCAAACCACCACTAATATTACCTCTCTCAAAATATTTTTTCTTTTTTTAACCCAATCAAAATTTCTAGCCCATCACACCAAATTCTTAGTGGTAGACAGATACTCGAACCACTGGGTATATTTAAAGCAAACACATTCCTTCTTCTTATAAAGGAAAAATGAGGTAAAACTTTCAAATAAGCCGGGTTCTTCAAGAAAAATTATATCATGAAAAATCTGCACTGCATCTCTCTAGAGACCAGAAATGCTTTTCCACTGGCATGGTAATACAGTGAACTACTCAGCAACAACACATTACTCCTATACTCAAGTAACACGTACAGGGCACTGAAAAAGACCAAAGGCCACACCAGAAGTCAAACTGTTAAATACAGGTGAAAAGCTAATGATGAGGAATGAATAATAAGCAACACATAATTCAATTGCTTTCCTGCTATAAAAAGAGGAGATTTCATAAAACCAGCAGAAAAACTATCTTATCAGCACACAATACAAATCAGAAGCATGTAAAGCCAACTGACATTTCACAGGCAGCCTGCCCTTCTTTTTTAATCTTTAACTTGTGCCAGAGGAGGAATGTGAAAGTTAGGCTCAATTTCCTCTGGCTCCATTCTTCCCTATGTGAAATTGTATTTCGTGTATGTATCATCTCATTACACGCAACTTTCCTTTCCTTGGGGACTCCCTTCCTGATGTCTCCCATTTGTTATTAAAATTTCTACCACTTGCAAGGTCACAACCACACTACAAAACCAGTGTCAGTTCATTTCTAGTTAGTGTCAGTTCACTTCTGGATTTTCCTTCTGCTAGCTTCATCTGAAACTCATTTGCCTTAAAACGTTCTGTGCCCCAAGTCATGGCAATATTTGTATTGGCCTTTTCCAGGGCTCCTCCATCTGGTTACGAGTGCCATTGTGCACTCTTCCTAAAACACCAAGCAGGCAGGAAATAGCAGCCTACTCTGCTTTCAAACACGTAGAAAAATGTTGGAATTTCTGTATAGTTATGGATGGTCTTTTAGAGAAAGTTTAAACAATGTCTTTGCTCTAGTACTAGGAAAGGAAGCCTGGTACTTCCCACACTTGTATTCCAGCTTCTCTGATGGGGGGGGGGGGGGGG